CACAGCCACTGCAGCTTATGAAATTCTACGTCTGCAGCAAGGGTGGGGGTGGGGCGAGTGAGATCTGCAGCCCAGGGAGGAGGATGGGTGAATCAAAGCCCTAGTCTGTGCCATGTAAGAATGGGATGGACTGTTCCTTCACACTATTTCTGATACCACCTCCCTGTGCTGCCTGGTGCCCCCTGGCTCCCCGCCCCACTATAACTCTGCTGCTTTACGTTTCAGTGACTCATAGCAGGAACCAGGGAGCTTAGCTCTGAGAGACATAGACCTGGTTGTGTTCCTTTGTCCTCTGTCACATACACCTTTCTCTTGTTCCTGCCTTACCATTCCAGTCATCGCTGTATGTAGCTGATAGGTAGAGGGAATGGAGACACTACAACACTACCTGGAGAGAGTAAGGCTGGGGCTACCTGCTTCTCCAGGGTGCAGACACATCTCTCTGGCTTCTAGACCAGGACTTAGAACATGCACCCTCTTTCCATGTCTTCTCTACCCTTTTTGCCTGCCTCTCCCTTTTTCTTTCTTTCATTGTCCTTTCTCAGTTACTGTTTTTCCCTTTTAATTAATTACGTTCTAAGTTTCTTTTTGGTTTTCCACCCCTCCCTGTTTGTTTTATTTCCATGTTTGAAGAGTAGACACCTAATAAGAGGGCTTGAAGGAAAAGGTTGAGAGGGAAAGAAAAGTTTAGATTGTCTTTCCTCTTTGGAGATGTGGGCAATGGGAATATTGCCGTCCTTTCTTTTCCTGGAGATTGAAGCCTCTCTCCATCCTTAGATTTCCTGATTCTTTCAGCAGTGATATCTAAAACAGGGATTCTTAACTTTGGTTCTTCATGATTTCGTATGTGAGAGAGACCCTTGCCATCCCCGCAAAAACAAAGTGAGTTCTCTGTGTGGTATTTTTCTGTTAAAATTTTTAAGATAACTTCAGAATTTTATATTCCTTCCTTGAAATGGCTGGAGTCATTTGGGATATTGTAACAAGACTGGAAATCACTGTTCTTTAGTGTCTAGCCAAACCAAGAAGATCATTATGTTCTGTCCAAATTTCTTTTTATCATTCTTTATTTTTATTTTTTTGTTGTGGTAAAATAGACATAAAATTGACAATTTTAACCATTTTTTGGTGTACGGTTCAGTGGCAGTAAGTACATTCACATCATTGTGCACCCAACACCACCATTTCCAAAGCCTTTTATTTTTTATTTATGCTATTACAGTTGTCCCAATTTTCCCGCCTTTGTTCCTCACTGCCCTTTTTCATAGTCAATCCCCACACTGTTGTCCATGTCTATGGGTCCTTCTTATATGTTCTTTGACTAATCCCTTCATCTTCTTTCAATCAGTCCCCACCTCCTTCTTCCCTTCTTACAGCTATCTGTTCCATGATTCTATGCGTCTGGTTCTATTTTGCTCAGTAGTTAATTTTGTTCATTAGATTCCACTTATAAGTGAGATCATACAGTATTTGTCTTTCACCAACTGGCTTATTTCTTTGAGCACGAGGAGTCTCCAGTTCCATCCATGCTGTTTCAAAAGGTAGGAATTCCTTCCTTTTTTCTGCTGTGTAGTATTCCATTGGGTAAATCTACCACAGTTTTTGAATCTACTCATCTACTGATGGGCACTTAGGTTACTCCCAAATTTTGGCCATTGTAGATAGCACTGCTATGAACATAGGGGTGCATAAGTCTTTTGAATTGGTGTTTCTGGATTCGTAGGTCTATTCCTAGCAGTGGAATTGCTGGGTCAAAAGGTAGTTCCATTTTTAATGTTTGAAGAAATTTCATACTGTTTTCCACAGTGGCTATACCAATCTGCATTCCCACCAACAGTGCACTAGGGTTCCCCTTTCTCCACAACCTCGCCAGCACTTGTTGTTTGTTGACTTATTAATGATGGCCATTCTGAGTGGTATGAAGTGGTATCTCATTGTGGTTTGAATTCGCATCTCTCTGATGGCTAGTGATGTTGGGGCATTTTTTTTCATAAAAAATATGGCATGCTTCTGGAATATGCATGTCATCCTTGCACAGGGACTGTGCTAATGTTCCACTTTTTAAAAATTTTATTGATTATGCCATTACAGTTGTTCTATTCCCCTCCACCCTGTACCCCCCCGACCCCACCATTCCCCCCCTTTAGTTTATGACCATGTGTCTCAAGTTCTTTAGATTCTATATTTCCCATACTATTCTTGCCCTCCCCCCCCATTTTCTACCTTCCATCTATGCTATTTATTCTCTGTACCTTCTCCTCCTCCCACTCCCCTGTTGCTAACCCTCCATGAGATCTTCATTTCTATGTTTCCACTCCTGATCTAGCTGTCCTCTTAGTTTGCTTTTGTTTTAGGTGTGGTTGTTAATAACTGTGAGTTTGCTGTCCTTTCCCTGTTCATCCTTTTTATCTTCTTTTTCTTAGATAAGTCCCTTTAACATTTCATATAATAAGGGCTTGGTGATGATGAACTCCTTGAATTTGATCTTATCTGAGAAGCAATTGATCTGTCCTTCCATTCTAAATGAAAGTTTTGCTGGATAGAGCAATCTTGGATGTAGGTCTGTACTTTCCAGCCCCTTCTTGCCTGTAAGGTCTCTTTTGAGAAATCATCTGACAGTCTGATGGGAACTCCTTTGTAGGTGACTGTCCCCTTATCTCTTGCTGCTTCTAGGATTCTCTCCTTCATTTTAATTTTGGCTAATGTAATTATGATGTGCCTTAGTGTGTTCCTTCTTGGGTCCAACTTCTTTGGGACTCTCTGAGTTTCCTGGATTTCCTGGAAGTCTATTTCCTTTGCCAGATTGGGGAAATTCTCCTTTATTATTTGTTCAAATAAGTTTTCCATTGGTGGCTGTTCCTTTCCCCCTTCTGGTACCCCTATAATTCGGATGTTGGACCATTTAAAGATATCCTGGAGGTTCCTAATACTCTCCTCATTTTTTTGAATTCTTGTTTCTTCATATTTTCCTGTTTGGTCATTTTTTTTCTTTCTTTTGGTTCACTCCCTTGATTTGAGTCCCAGTTTCCTTTTCATCACTATTGGTTTCCTGTGTAATTCCCTTCATTTCAATTAGTTTAGCCTTCATATGTTCCTCTAATTTGTGACTAAAATCAACCAGTTCTGTGAGCATCCTGATCACCAGTGTTTTGAACTGTGCATCTGAAAGTTTGGCTATTTCTTGGTCGCTTAGAGTTATGGGCTCTGGTGCTTTGAGATCTTCTTGAGCCATTTTTGGTCTTTTCACACTGGTTAAGTATGAGGAGTGGAGCCTTAGGTGTTCACCGGGGTGGGGCCGCCCAGGTCGCTGGGTTGTGACACTGTATGTGGGGGCGGGGTCAGAGCGGGGAAATGGCAGCCCCCTCTGCCGCCTCCCTCCACTGGGGCCTGCTCAGTCCCGTCTCACCGCCCACTCTCTCACCAGTCTATCTGCGCAGGAATGCACGAATGCGCGACCACAGTCAACCCGCCACCCTGCACCCTCGCTGGGTCCGCTGGTCGCTCACCAGGTTGCTCACTGGATCGGCCCTTTGCAACCCCACGCCTGGGATCCGCCCACCTGAGTCCGTCTGACCGAGTTTTCCTGTGCAACCCTGCTCTGCCAGCTCCAGGCTTTGCCCCTCTTACCGGTCAGGCTGAAGAATTTCGTTGTTATCAGACTTCCGAAAAGTTCAATTTTCTGTGTTCTGGCTGTGTTTTCTGTTGCTAATACTGTGTTGTCTCCAAACTTGGTTGTGTGAGAAAGCCTGGCATCTCCACCTATGCCTCCATCTTGGTGGAAGTTTCTAATGTTCCACTTTTAGTAGATGTGCTGCCAAAGCGAGCACTCTGTCTGAATTTCTTGCTGCCTTTCAGCATGGAATAACAACTTCCCTCTTTGGGGGGTTTCCTGTAGCTCCATTCATCAGCATAAGGGATCATGGGCAGGTAGAAACCATTTCCCTGATTTCCTCTCTCAACCTGCCTATAGAGGGAGGTTAGGAATGGTGGTTGAGCCCCTCATGCCCACCCTTTACTTCTCCCATGGTTCTTTCACTCAAAGCAGAGAGGAGAGTTTCTGTTTTCCTTTAAGGAGCTGGGTCAGGGGTGGTTGGGGATGAAGTTACAAACTGGGATGGAGGAGATAAAAGAGAGAGGAGGAAGCATAAGGTTGTCTCTGTGGGAAACTGGGAGACTGGAATGAAGTGAGGAAGGAAGGTACAGGGTGTGTTTCTTTGTGTGAGTGCACACACGTGCGTGCACTTGTGCATGACTGTGCCAAAACACAGATGTCATGAGTGGAATGTGGAAGCTCACAGAGGGGCTTGCAAGGCCCTCTGCCCTTTCAGGCAGAGTGTCTTCTTCACCCTGAGGCTGAAGGCCAGAACTTCACTTCTGAAGAGCTCTGGGCAATGAATCAATTTAGCACTTACCCTCATGCGTTTTGAATTAGAATACTCTGTCCTGGACTGGATGACTGCCCTGAGAATCTAAAAACTATTCTGATTACTGCAGGAGGCCCTTCTGCATCCTGAATGACTCCAGTTTCCACTCTGGTGTCGGGGGTGGAGGGCCTGGAATCTTGATGTTTTCTTCCCTCAATCCCCAATCCTGCTTTAGGTGGTCCCAGGAAGGGTATGAAAAGGGAATATGTATAGGGGAGCAGACTGAGAGGTTGGCAATACAGATGTCATTGATTGCAGATAGGGTCACCCTAAAGTACATGAGGGATTTCTGAGAACTGAATAGCTATTGCTGTCTCCAAAACAGATAGGGTAAACAGCTTCCCTCTCCCCCCATATCAGAATGGCTGGTCTGTGTGTGTATGAGAGTTGGAAGAATGTATTAATTTGAATATAACTGAATATCTGTTTGTGTTCACTTGAATATATTAAATTCCCTTGAGTCCAGGTTGAGTCAGTCTGATGGGGGCGGGGGGAAGCAACAGTCTAGGTAATTCAAGGCAGCAGATAATCCCCAAGTCATTTATGAGTATAACTGAAAGGGGCTTTGGATTACAGTCAGGACGGGCTTTGGAAGGTGCCTTGTGGGCTTCTCTGGGTCAAGAGGAAGAAGTCATTAGCCCTGTGATGTACAGACCCTTTCCACAATGTTGGAGAGAAAGCCAGGCCTTGAGTCTGCACCTACATATTCTTACAGCTTCTCAGAGTCCTTTGGACAGTGACTGAGGAGACAAACCATGCAGGAAACATTTAGAGGGAAAAAAAAAGAGGAAGAAGTCATTAATGGAGGCAAAGGAATACTGCTCTTAGATCTGCACCAGGGCAGCCATATAGATAAAAATTGCAGGCAATGTGTCTTTTTAGGTGGGAAGGCAGGGAGGCTAGAGAGGGCCTCAGGGGCAGCATGCTATTTGAAGGCCAAGGGCATAAAGGGGCAGGATGAAGTTTGGAGTAAGAGAGGTTAGGAAGCAATATAAGCTCACAACTGACCTCATTCCCAAATTAGCCAAAGCACCAGCCTAGAACAACTGGTCACTGGGAAAAAAACAGCCATTTCAACTCAGCCTCGAACCTTTGAAATAGTGGTGGTGCCTGTGTATCATTCTCCGCTCTTGTTCTCATCTCACTATTTCCTTCTCCTGAGATAGTGTGTCTACTCTCAAAATTTCAACCACTATTTAAAATAAGACTCATTAACCCCAAAGCTGTTTCTCTGTTCTCTCTATCCACTTGCCTTCTGTTGCCTCCTCCTGAGTATCCTGGAGACTTCTCAAGGCAAAGAACTTTACTAAAGGAGTTACATGTCATCCCTGCCTTCTGGGGCTCATAGACTAAGACATAGCTGGCATTGGGGGATGGTCACTACATACAGTTGGACAGTGAACAAGGATTTAAATATGTGCACATAATTTAAAGAATGACATGACATAGAGGGAGGTTAGATGTATCTCCACTGTCACCAACAACTCACCCAGAACATCAACTGTTGGCAAGGCCAAAACTGTCTGGCCCCTTTTGGCTCCAGCCATACAGACCTCCCTCCTGTCCTCTTACTTTCTACATGAAACTGTCTTGTTCTCAATACCCTTATCAGTGAGGCTGTCCCAGCAGTGAGGCTGCACATCATGTCCCTTGAAGCCCCAGAAGGTGGCGGTTTCTGAGTTTGAGATCTCCAAAAAGTGGGTCATAAATCATTAGGGCCCCAGTGGTGTCTCAGGTCTGGGAGGGATCAGAGAGGGGAATTGAAGGAAGATGATGGAAAGCTCCCCTAGGAGAGCAGGGGAAAGCATTTGGGATGAAGAAAGGATGGGAATTCTAGAGGGTAAGAAGGATGGGAAGAAGCAAAGCCCCAGAAGAATGAAGAGAAAGGAAATGAAAATAGAAAGGGTAGATGCATAAAAGAGAGGAAATGAAAAGAGAATAAAAAAGAAGATGCCCTGGCTGGTGTGGCTTAGTGGATGGAGGGCCAGCCTGTGAACCAAAGGGTCACCAGTTCAATTCCCAGGCAGGGCACATGTCTGGGTTGTGGGCCAGGTCCCCAGTAGGGGGTGCTCGGGAGGCAACATTTCTTTCCCTCTTACTTCCCCTCTCTCTAAAAATAAATAAAATCTTTTAAAATGTTTTTAAAAAAAGGCAAGAAGAATGAGATATGGTAGGGAGTGAGAGAGAAGATACCACAGGAAGGAGCAGCACCAGAGCTGCGTCCGTGTGCCTCTTGTGCACCATCACTAGGAAAGAAGGCGATGAGAGTCTCGGCAGGAACACCTTCAAGTACTTCTGTCTGCGGGCTGAGGGGAGAGGGCCCGCAGATGTCATGGTAACGACCCCCACACACACCAGCCTCATATAAAGTAATGAGTTGTTAGTTTTCTCACCCAGAAAAGGTGCCTGGTGGGGCTCTATAAGTGGAAATGTGCTGGAACCCTATGTTGTTCCCTCAGTGTTGGGCACGAGGCCCGTCTTGTGTAAAGCTGGATCCAGACTGCATCTCCTGGATGGATAGGACTCAGTCTGTGTATCCAAGGAGATATTAGGGTTTAGGATGATGGCTCTTGGCACCAGTGCAAAGAAGTTGACCAGACTGGAAATAGGGCTAGTACGAGGGAGACTCTGGCCTAAGCAGAGGTAGAGTGAATCCTGGGCAGAGTCAGAGAAATCAGTGTTGAATAAAGCAAGCATAAAGCAAAGTGGAGCTTTCCATGCAGTGAATATACTTATACCTCACAAGTCTGAGAGGAGACCAAGACCTTCTTGATCCGCCCAAGGTGTCACAGTTGATTAGCTATAGTGCCAGGCCTGGAACCCAGGTCTGTCTTCCCCAGAATTCCAGACTATATTCTGTGTCCAGAGACTTTGGCTGTGCCCCTCCCAATCCTGGGCTGCTTACTTAGGACTAGATTGGCCATAATGAAGGGCAGGGTGGGCCATTAGTGGGCCTGGGAGCCTGCTGTAAGTTGGCTAAGGGAGCACAAAGCCATTGGAAAACACAAGAGATACAGGAAATTGGGGGAAAGGAACAGGACATCAAGAGTTGCCTGGGCCCTGGCAGAATGGCTCATTTGGTTGGAGCATAATCTGGTACACCAGAAGGTTGCAAGTTCGATTCCTGGTCAGGGCACATAATTAGGTTTTTGGTTTGATCCCCAGTCTCAGTTTGTTCAGAAGGCAACTGATTGATATTTCTCTCTCTCTCTCGCATTGGTGTTTCTGTCTCCGCCCCCCCCCCCCCCCCCAATCAATAAACATGTCCTCGAGTGAGGCTTAAAAAAAACCAGACCTGCCTGGGAGAGGATAATAAGAACCGGGCAGGGAGCTGGGGACCAGGACTCTGTTCTCAGAGGATGGCTCACCTGCCTCTAGCCCTTAGGCAGCCTGAGGTGATTTGGGAATTTGTGCTGCCCTCTGGTAGCCATTGAGGGAACAGCAGTGAGGACAATTCTCTGCAAACAACTGCCTGCCAACTCCATCCCAGGGATGAATGTCCTGCTGTCCCACATGTTCTTGCACAATGGTGAAATTCAAGGCTCTGGAAACCTCAATCCCTTAAGATTCTTGGCTTAGATGGTTAGTGGAAGTACTTTTCTCCTAAGAGAAGGGGGCAAGATGGATCTTCATATCTGCCTGGCATCTCAAAGAATCTAACTCTTTTTGACATATAGTAAGCATTTCGTGAACTATTTCATTCAATCATTGTGAAGTCCCTATTAAGTGGTCAATACGATTGCCATGTTACAGTTGAGGAAACAGCCTCAGAAAGAGGCAGTTATTTTTTTCCAAGGTCATGCTGCACTGAAGTTTGAACGCAAAAAGAAGGGGAGGAGGAGATCTTCTATGGGCTCACAGATGCCATGTAAAGGCTGCTTGTGACTAGCAGAGTCCTGAGTATCTTCTGTACGTATGTCATACTCCGGGTGCCTGGGAAAATTGCAGCCTCATTAATTCATTCACTCATTCAGTGTTTCATCTCCTGGTGCCAGACCGTGTCTGGGGACTGGGGCACAACAACAAACAGACATGGTTCCCTGTCTTAACTGAGCAAGCTCCACAATCTGGTGGGTGCAATTTATCAACCGCTTATGCAATAAGTGCTAATAGATATTGTTACAAATTGCCAGAGGTGAAAGAAATTAGGGAGCTCTCCCCGGAGAAGAGAATGTTTTAGCACTGATAAAAAAAAAAAATTCGTTTGTCAAGTAGACAAGAGGGAGGGGCAGCCCAGGTAGAAACAAGGTGCAGGTTAAGGGCCAGGTAGAGGGAGAGGTTACTGGGGATTTAATGAATTTCCTGCAGTTTTGTGTAACTGAAACACACAGGCTGTGGTGTGCCTGAGTCTGGCTATGATTCCGGAGATAGGGCTAAAGATCAAGAAAAGAGGGATGCCAGACTAATGTAAGGGGTTTTCCTTGGCTAGAGTGAACGACATAAGCTTTATTCTCAGGCCTAGGAAGTCCACAGAATTTTAAGCTGTAGTCAATAATTAGAGCTGGTTTTTAGCAAGGTACCCTCGGAGGCCGGACTACCACTCTAAGAGGTATGCACTAGTCCTGGCAGGAAACTCTGACCAGAAACCTGGGCCGAGATGTCAAGGTGACCAGGTGGAGTGCAAGAGAGACGGAGGAAAGGGGATACGGGTTTTCAGGTGGGGCCTGAGGCTGTGCAAATCAGACAGATGCCCTGAAGGTGGCGCGAGCTGGGGCAGGCAGAGCTTCGCCGGCGGCTGCTCTGGGAGGCGTGAGAACCCGCCGGCACCCTAGGCGTGAACAAGAGCGGCGGGGCGCAGAGAGAGCGTTCACCCGCCTGAAGCCCCCGCGCGCCGGAGCCGCCTGCCACGAATTTATGGCCCAAAGCCGGTTGCAGCTGTGCGCAGCTGGTTATGCAAATGTATGCAAATTTGCGTTTCCTCGGCCAAGTCTTGGTCGCTAGCTGCATAAAAGCGTGGGTGAAGGGGAGCAGCATTGTTAGTGTTCTTCCGCTCCCCAAAGATGTTCAGACAGGGTGTGTGTGGGGGTGCATCTTCTCTGACCTAGTGGTCCCGCCTTGGGACCCTGACAGTCTGTCGCGATGAACGTGGGATCCTCTCCCTATTCCCTGACCTGTGCACCCTCACCCCCATCCTGCCTAAGGCGTGGGCAGAGGGACAGCCAGTGGCTCAGACACTACCCGTACCCCCTGCTGGTGAGAACTCCCATCCTACACCGTGAGAGGAAAGGAGCCCCAAGACAGGGTCTGATAATCCCACATGTTCCCCAGCCCCAGAGAATTCTCTCTCCCCACCACTGGGGAAGGGTGGGTTGGAAGGTCTGTCTTCTTTTACCTCTCCATTGCCCTCCTTCCTCCTGCTTCTCATCCGCTTCTACAGAAGTACTTCCAGAAGTCTAACCACAGTCACACTTGCTGTTTTAGTTTTCCTTGTGGTTTGGCGAGAAGACTCTATTCTCGAAGTACCTGTTGTTGACTTCTGAGGGTATGGGAATGGAGGGAAGGATTTCGGAGCACAACTAGCCACCAACCCCCCTAGGGAAAAAGTCCCTACCCTTGGCAAGACCTAGAAGGGAGTCTGGGCTAGGGACTCTCATCCCCCTGCTCTGGTCCTCTTTCCTAGATGGCTCTTCCCACAACAACCACAAGGGGTCTTCCTTGCTCTAATAATGGGAAAATTCTGCCAGGCTGAAGTGCTAGGAGGCAGGGGTGCCTGGCGTACTGCCCTCTCGGCAGTCACCGAGCACCCAGACGCGCCCTACCCAGGTGGCTT